ATGTGATATGGAGAGAGAGAGGGATGGAGAGATGTGACATGAAGAGAAAGAACATTAGAAAAAGGACACGGTTCTGTGAGTCAGCCAACTCAACTATTTCCATGCGGTCCCTTGCCTATCAAACGTCCAACTTTAAGATGGACGTTAGAAAATGTTAAATCCACTAAAAGTTGAAAAAAACAGTAGTAAAAAGAATTCAAAAAACAAAATTTATATTACTCGAAAAAGAAAATTTCCAAATTTAGATCATTGTCATAGTTGAGATTCTTGAATGCTAAAATTTTGGATCGAAAATACATCTTTGAGATATATTTTGGAGGGAGACTGCATGAGAATAGGTGAGTCGGTCGACTCACCAAATACTTTTTCTTAAAAAAAAAAGGACCTAGTTTCTATGCGGCCAAGCCTATATATGTAGAAATGCAGGCCTCTTACTAAGTCTGTTTTTGAGATGGATTTTAAGACTTAATTTTTAAGGACATGCAATCTCTAATATGGAGATCATGAATATTAAAAAATAAATAAATTTTAAAACAAAAACTAATAATTCTATTAAGAAAACATTTGGACCGTTAGTTTCTATTGTTTTTAGACGGAACACCTACTTGACTGCATATGTAGAAATGTGGTCCATCCCGCATGAAACAATTTTCTAAAAAAAACAAAGGATACGAAGAGAAAGGGACAGAGATGTGATATGTAGAGTGAGAGATGTGATATGGAGAGAGAGGAGGGTGCTTTGAGAAAAAAAAACAAGAGATACCCAGGCAGAGTTCAGACAGAGGGAGAGAGAATAAAGAGGTTTTCACTCTGGGGAATACTGTGATAAAAGCTGAGAAGCCATGAAGATCAATATAAAAGATTGAGAAAGAGGTTTTTGAGTTATGCAGAATAGAGAGAGAAACTAAATCAATAATGAAACCTGTCTAATGCACCAAGTGCTGCATCAATCTTGGCCTTCATTTTTTCGACTTTGGCTTCAGGGTCACTCCTTGATGCATGAAGCAACAGGGAATCCAAATCTTCCAAAGCACTGTAGAAATCTTCTAGCTAACAATATAAGAGGAGATACAGTACTAACAACAGCAGCAGCAACGGCAATATTAATAATAGTAATACCGGAGGCATTGGTCGACAGCATCGAAAGCGGCTTTGCCTTTACCATCTTCGGATGCATACTGAGCAACCTGCAATTTTCATATAATACAAAATATGGTGAGCAACCTGCAATTTTCATATAATACAAAATATAGAGTGCACATAGCATGCTCACGACAGGAGCAACTTGTGCACTTGCTCCCACTAGCAAAACACCTGATCAATATGAAATTTTGTAGTACATATTTGATCCACCAGATGAATAATTTGAAAATAATAAAAAATTATTTTGATGTCTAAAAACCTAGAACCAAGGACAGATAGATGGTCCAAACCACTCCAACAATCCATCTGTCCTTGGATGACTACCATTTTTTTAAGGTATACTTCAGATAATTTCCCAATTTTCTTTTGGAAGGTTTTATATTATTATTTTTTTTTAAAAAAAAGCCGATCCAAATCAAAACCAGCCAATCCGTATTGGGAATTGTTGAGGGCGAACCCATTCCCCAAATCAAAACCAGCCAATCCGTATTGGGAATTGTTGAGGGCGAACCCATTCCCTAAAAATATCGGGAACCGGTTGGTTCTAACGCCGGTTCCCTAAAAAAACAGATAACTAAACCAGTTCTACCTCTTCTTTTTTTGGCCTTATTTATTATAACTTTTGAACCTTTAGTTTTTCAAAAAAACTTATATACAGGGCGGTCACTGATCCAAATGGATGGCCCCTCTCCCCTTGGTGCGAATGGGTAAGCAAGCCTTAGGATACATGTTTCTTTTATAGGGCAAAGGACTCCAAGTTTTCCTCTGGTTCGCCGATGTGGGATTAAACAACTGGCCAAAAAAATTGGGAAAACCATATCATGCCCCAATGAAATCTGTAGCCTGATTGAACCTGTATTGTAACGAGCCTTGAATAATTTGAGAAATATGACAAATAAATTTGAATTAAAGCAATTTCAAAATTTGAGAACCATGAATCAAATTAATTCCAAATTTTGAATCAACTTCAAATTGATCAAAAAACGCTTATAAAACCCAATCAAACATGGCTTTGAGGAACCATAAATCAAAATTTGAGAAATTTCGTGGAAGTTTGAACCCAATTTTTTTTTTTTTCAAGACCAGTGAAATTGATATTTTAGTGGATTTTATTATAAATTTTGTGTTCATTATCTTCAGATTTCAGAGCCAGGAGGAGTATTCAATCACCCATAGCAGGTAATTTTATTTTCAATTCCTACTTTTTTTGCTTAATTTTTATTCTATTGCATTGTTGAGCCAATTTTATAAAAAGAAATCTCATTACCAGGTAGATTTGGACCCAAAAAATTCTGATTTAGTGCTCCTGCAAGGTTTTTTTGCCGCCAAAGACAAATTTTGTTGTGAAATAATGTTTTTTAATGTGAAATTTGTTAATTAGTTTTTATCTCGATAGATTCCTCTATTATCTGAAACTCAGATATGAAATTTTAATGTTGTGATTTTTCCCGAAATTCGTTTTGCTCAAGATTGCTAGTTGCTGCTGAATTTTTTTCTTTCATGGCACTTTCTACCATGTCATAGACTTTGCAATTGTTTTTGGATAAAATTTGTGCAAATTTGATCCAAAACGATGTTCATTCATCTCTCTGCACACTTGCTATACCAGTTTCATAAATCGAAACCTCTTTCCATCCAAATCGAGGGCCTAAAACAAGGCATTTTCAGCTCGTTTTAGGTTCCTGATTTTTTTTCTCTTTTAATTTTTGTACTTTACATATTAAAGGTCTTTTGAAGCTAATATTATAAAGCTTTTTAATTGAAGCTTATATAAGGATTTTTAGATTAATGATATTTACAAAAATAAAAATTACAGATAATTATGTTAAATTACAAGAATGAAATTACAGACAATTATGTTAAATTACATATAATTACAAAAAAAAAAAAATGTAAAATAGGTAATATACAAAAATTAATATAATTATCTTGAAATTGTTGTTGTTGAAATATTTATGTTAGTAACTTATAAGGGAAAAAAAGGCATGGTTAGAAGGGCAAGGTGTAAGGCCCAAAAGGATATGGTTGGACATAGTGAGAAAAGATATGAGGACTCATGGCCTCATTGAGGGTATGACTCTTAATAGAGCATAATGGCAGACCATGATCCATGTAGCCGACCCCAATTAAGTGGGAAAAGGCTTTGATGATGACGATGAATGCACTACCACCCCTTTTTTTTGCAAATTATATTTTTAAAGATTTTTAGTATTTTTGATATTTTTTAAGACTGGATCGGCCGATTCTCCAATCTGGCGTTCCATCCCAGTTTTCCAGATGGACGATCTAGGTCACCAATCCATTTTTAAAACCTTGCTCATTTGAACTAAAGATACCGAGTAACAAACAATGCAGCAATGACCGAGAATTTTTAAAGCCAGAAAGGGGTAGCATAGCTATTGAATGAGCTGAAATGAAATCTACATCATTTCTATTCCTAACTATCATCCATCCAAGCGCAAGGCCTATTGGTTAGTGTAGAGGGTTCCACAAATAGTGAATGGTTTTTCATCTGTGAGGATTGCTCAAATTTAGATGAATTTATTTAGCAGGTGTCATGCTGAACTTCACTGATTTAAAGCTGTAACTGTGTCTTAGAAAATTTTCAACAACCCTACTCTTTAACAGTTTATACCTGGGTTAACTTGCCAATGGCCCCAGGTCAATGGGAATGACACCCCAAATTCACAGTTCCCCAAAGTTAGCAGAAAGTGTGTAGGGGGAAGGTAAGATCACCCATCCCTATATCTAAGCCTGCACTTGTGTTGGTTTACAGCCCAAGGTCAATAGAGAGGGTTCCCAAATATAGCAAACAGTAATACTGCGTAAATTAGTGGACAGTATCCGCAGATAGTTAAAAGGTGGAAGCCTAAGATATAGCTATTCTTTTGTTTCTTATTGAAAGCCTGTATGGGGAAAGTGATCATTATAGGATGCTGATGTGCTCGAGTATTTCAAATCATAAAAAAAATTCAGTACTAGGAAACAGACTAGTTTATGAGATTTTCAATAAAGGGATTTCAATAATATAAGGGTTGAAAGTCCTAAAGGAAAAACCTTCTTGGGGTAAAAGTGTACGAGAAATTACTGCTCTAATGTTCACGCGAAGGGAGGCTGCTGGTCCAGACCGTAACAGGGACCTGCTGTCCGCATATCTTGGTCGATCAGATTCCAAAGTCTTCTCTGCAAATATCAGTAGAGGACACCAGTAAAAAATCTAGAAAGAAAATTTGTATGTATCGCTCATTTAAAAAGAAATAAAAATGTACGCAACACTAGTAAAAAAATTACACGTATCATCTTAAAAGAAGTAGACATGGACATAATTGTCAATTGCCTCCAAGATGATTGCATGTATCAACTAAAATAAGACATTGACCAATTAAACTGCTTCAAACCCGAACTTGTAATGGAAGACTAAAACTTACAACATTTTCAGGTCTAATCCAAACTTGGACAAGCAGCTTTCTTTTATGGGTGTGGTTTGCATATATATATATATGAAAAACTCTTAAAAACGTCTATAGGCAAAATTGAATAATGTTTCACCCCGTCACGGATTTACGGGAACCGTGGCGGTTTTTCGTATTTTTTTACGTGAAAAAATACCGCAACGGACATAGTAGGTCCGTTGCAGTCTTTTAATCCAAGTTGTCCTAAAAAATTGGACGGTGCCGAGCCTATGGGCGAAAACACTGTTCATTTTCGCCCATAGGCATTGCGTAGTGGCTTATATATATATATATATAGAAAAATTCTTCCCAACGCCTATAGGTGAAAATGATTAGTGATTTCGCCTACCCTCATCACCGTCCAAATTTCATCACGCGGTCACGATTGTTTGGTAGTGTTTTATTTTTCACTTTTTTTCTACTAATCGGAATGACCTGAAATTCGAAGGATATATACATCTTATTGAGGTGTATCTAATAAAAATATAAAAAAAATTATCCGTGAAAAAAAATTGACCAAAACACCCCCGAAAATTTTCGGGGGTATTTAGCCAATTGTTTTCATGTAAAATATTATTTTTATATTTTTTCTAAGATTCCCCTATTTTTGATGAATACACACTCTAAATTTCAGGTCATTTTGATTTGTAGAAAAAAAATGAAAAATGAAACACTACCGGAGAATCGTGACCGTGAGATGAACTTTAGACGGTGATGGGGGTAGGCGAAATCACTATTCATTTTCGCCTAGCGAGATCATTGTTCATTTTCGCCTATAGGCGTTGCATAGTATTTTCCATATATATATATATATATATATATATATATATAATATTATTAAGTGACTATAGAACGTAAATAATTAGTGTTACCGTCCGCCATAGACTAGTCTACTAGTCGTCAAGTACG